TTGATTTTACTCCCCAGTTATAAATAAGAAGCAAATTCCTTCTGGTTAATTGAGTCTTTAATATCACTATAAAGAGCAGTGTGAGATCAGAATCAGCCCTAGCTGGAGTATGTACACTCACAAAAAACTAGCCAGACTTTGCCCAGTGGAAATTCTGGGCATAGAAAGTAAAAATTGCAATTTAACAGAAGGTTATCCTATATCAAATTTTTCTGTTACAACATCTCTGTTCTATAAATCCTGTGTCAGATAAAAACTCTCATAGTTTCCACCAGATTCACCACATCAATAAAAACATGATGCGTCAGCTTTACTTTATATACCAGGCGACTCTTATCCTTTCTGTTGCCCTTTTCTAGACTTAGCAAAATTCTGTGGTGGTGCTAAATCAATTTTTTTTTATTTATTTATTTTATTTGTTTTTAAATTCCAAGGGAAAAAGCATTGACAAAATTGTGTTTTCTAGAGAAGGCTGTGTGTGTAAATGAGAAACAGTGGATAGCAGCGGAGTGATCTCCTGTGGCCCTGCTAGTACAAGCTTTCCCCATATTGTCTCCTGCTTTTATATTAATTACAACTTGCATTATCAGCTGTGAGTCTGTAGCCCAGCAAATAGAAAATACTGCCCCTAGAGACCTAGCTTCTTGTATCTATTTTCCATCTCCTTCTATTGTGCTCTACTCAGTATTCACTGCTTTTCTCCTGGTAACACTGCTCTTTAACACAATTAGGTAAGAGCAAGAGCAGCACCGTATTTGACTCCCAATTATTAAAACTACTGGGAATAGATACATGTGTGCTGTTTACCTTCTGTGGTACCTGACATTAGTTTAGGTCATACGTGTGTGAAAATTTGATAGTATGCACACGTACACAAAACAGGCAGTTGCATTTTGGCAGACATCATCCACACTTGTCAATGTGTTTCTGCAAAGTATATTACAAAACTTGCAAGAAGATGAGAAGCCCTGCTAACATTTTGGGTTTCTGTTCGTTTTGTGTTTTTTGTTTGGTTTGTGGGTGTTTTTTGTTAGTGTTGGTGGGTTTGTTTTTTTTTTTTTTGGTTGGTTGCTTTTTTGGTTTGGGGTTTTTATACAGTGTGATAGCTTAATACAAATTTCATTGAAATTAATAGAAAAAATGCAGTAAATATCAGCAGATCTCTTTGGGTACCTAACCTATACTGGTATAGTATTTCCAGTGAAGTACACTTCAGATGTGTCATTTGGTTCCATTTTTTTGTGTGAAGGCATACATAAAATAGCTACTTATGATTAGGCATTTGACCAAGAAATATTCTTGAGAGATGCAAAGTTGGAAGCAGTCTGGGAGAGGAAAAAAGGAGTTCACTGACACATGCAATGATTGTAGTCCAAAGCAAAAGAATATTGCCTTTTTATGAGGCTGTAAACTCCACCCCTAGAATTGTCATTTTTTATACTAAAGTCTAGCTATTTGTCTTTCAGATTTCTTCACTGTCTCATCTTATAAGTATCCCATCTTATTATTTCTGTCCTTCAGCAAAATTCTGCCAGATTGCTTCCTCAAGAAAGCTGCGTCACAAGAAATTCCCAATCAATACAGTCTGTCTTTCTAAAATGAGATCTACAAACTGAGGTCAAGAACAACTTCAGCCTGGTAGAGGCAGCAAGTGTTTTCAACAGCAGGAGTCTTTTTCAGTGAGCCTTTCCAACTTGTTAGGTTTTTGAAACATTGAGGCCAGTCTAGCTTTTGAAATACAGTATGATAGTTTTGGATGACATTTGCCTTAAAACATAGCTGAGGTGTTACCAGTTAATTATTGTAATTTTCATATGTGTGATAAGGAGTTCCAACAGCAGTCAGCTTAAGAGAGCCTGCAGTGCATAAAATTAACATAACTCACTGTGTTCCCTGAAAAGTTTACCCAAGATGAGCATTTTACAATTATTACGTTTTCTAAAAGAAGGTTCCAGCCTGATGTTGTTGGAGGGCTAAACTCATGCTATGCTATTGTTTCTTTCTTTTTTTTCATGTATTTCTTCTAGCTTTTTATCTGATTACCATCCGGCAAACAGCTGACGCTAAGAGGCTGCAGAGGGCTGAAGAGCTCCTGTCTGCTGTTTGCCTTCAGCTTGAAGCTATTTGAGTGGCTTCCTAACTCAGAGATAAAAAGAGAAGCTCATAGGCATAGCTGTGTTTTAATCCAGGCTGTAAAGACACTTGCTCAGTTTTTGCATTTTATTTCCATCTGAACTCTTTGTCAACCTTATTTTCAACTATTTTGTTCTTTTTAGTAACATCTGGGTTGCTTGAACTCTCAAGAGTTCTTATCTCTCTTTTTGTGTTTGTTTTCACCTGACTTTATAAAATGTTCTTGTTTTGGGTTTTGTTTGTTTTGTTTTGTTTTTTAAATGAAACAGTGGGGGATTGCAGTATTAATAGTGATTTCTGAGATCTAATTAATACCACAATCTCAGTGAATATAAAATACTAATTTTTGGTTTGTGTTTTGGATTTGTTTTTTTTTTCCCCTTTGTGGTTCCGTGTGAGAAAAAGTAGATCAGTCCTCTAGGTTTTGGAAGGGGGTGGGAGTTTTGTGCCGTAAGTGCTGTTGTGCTGTATGTTGAGCTGACAGGTTAGGCAAATTTTCAATCCTGGACTGTCTTCTGGTTTTACTCATATGTCCTTCCCATGGAATCACGTACATGGGTGCATGTGTATGTCTGTGTAAGGTGAAGGGGATTTGGATTCTTCTTACTTTTTTGTCACCTAGGGCTTTGTTGGGAACCTTTTGAAGTTGTGTGCTCTTCCCTTTGTCTCTGCTGCACTCTGGGTCAGGACCATTAGATTTATGTTACTGGGTATTGTAGCAAGCCATTATTTGGCAGTTGTATTTTGCATTGCTATAGAGCATGTGGTACTAATCAGTGGTAGGAGATTACTTTGAGATGTTTCAATATATATTTTGGGACCTGATTCCAATCACACTTACACTGAATTTTACAATGGGCAAATCGGTTGATTTTGTTGAACTTATTCCTCCTACACGCCAGGGTAAATGAGGTCAGAATCAGTGGTGCTCAAAGAACTTACTCAAGCCTGTTGCTTGCTGCTTCCAGGATTTCCACGTGCTTTAATAGTCCGGTGTTATTTCACAATGCAGATTTAAGACATGCTGAAACCTCAGAAGCCATTTTGTTTTGGTTTTGGGTTTGTCATTTGTTTTGGGGTTGTGTTTGTTTGTTTGTTTGTTTTTTGAAGGGGGGGGGTTGTTTGCTTTGTGTTGAATTATTGTAATGCACTTGATTTAACTTGCCACATACAGGTGACAAGTAATGCAGGTCCAGCCCCTAGTCTGATCTGTTTCATGTGTTCTTGCTCTCTTTTTCTGCCAAAGGAAATTCCATCTCTTGCCTGCCTTCATGTGGTGCTGATAAAGCTCTTCCTGTACAGTAGAATTCCTGTTTTCCTTTAAGCAACAGCAGGGTATTGGGAATGATCAGGAAAGGGGAGGAGGACAGGAGGAGAATACACTCAACAAAGTAGCGCTAAACTGTAACATTCAGTTTTCCTCACTTAGCCATTTAAATAGCAGCTCCTCACCCTGGGAAAGCCAATACCTAATAAATTAGAAAGCATGCATGAATTATGTGTCTAAAGTACAGTAGTTGAGGTCTTACTTAGCCAAGTTTTGCAAACTTCATACGTCTGTCTTTTGCTTTCACTTTTGTCATGTTTTATGCATAGTAATGTAGAAAGAATTACATAAAAATCACTAGACATGTTACTTTATATAATCACCTGGTGGTTATTCTTGACAATACTTGTAAGTGAACTGTTCGAGTGATACACCTAGAAAGTCTTTTGAAATGTGTCATATCCAGGTGCTAGTGGGGGGTGAGGAAGTATCTTCCCTGGTATGTAGCGTCTTTCAGAGAAAGCTTACTTTTTTCCTCACAACTTTGCATTTGTTTGAAATTTTACAGCATTCAAATGGATGAGAGAGAGTGTAGGGTGTGAGGACATGCTCCTCTCCCGTACACATTCTCCTCTACTTCTTGAAACAGTTTTTCTTCCCTTCCTCTCCCCTCCCATCTCTAGTCAGTATGCAAAAACAAAGTGAGGAGAGGTAGTTTGCATACCAACTATCCTGATCTTAATGTGAACACCTAGTATCATAAATGCGCAGGTTGATGGTCATCCCCTACCCTCCCCCCCTTCTTGCCCTCCCCCTACTCCCAGAGGGACAGAGAGGAGAATCGAAAAGAATGCAACTCCCACGGGTTGAGATAAGAACAGTTTAGTAACTAAGGTATAACACAAATCACTACTGCTACCACCAATATTAATAATGACAAAGGAAATAACAAGGGAAGAGAATAAAACACTTCACCACCCACCAACCGACAATGCGCCTCCCCCAGCTCAACCAAGCACTGACCGATACTTCATCCAACCCCACACCCCTGACGCTTCCGGGTAACTCTCAGTTACATCCTGGGCATGACGTGCTGTAGTATGGAATACTTCTTTGGTCTGTTTGGGTCAGGTGTCTTGTCTCTGCTTCCTCCTGGCCTCCCCTCCTGCCCAGCAGAGCATGAGGCTCAGAAAGTCCTTGGTCAGACTAAAACATTGGTGCTATCAGCTCTGTTCCCAGGCAGAAAATCAAAACAAAGCACTGCACCAGCTACTAAGAAGGAGAAAAAATGACTGCTACTGCTGAACCCAGGACATGCAGAACTATTTAAACAATTAAATCCAGACCAGTATTCAGAAAATTTAAGAAAGAAAAATATCTGTCATTTATTTCACCAACTAGACTTTTGTACCTCATCTGCTTGTCTTTGCTGAGAAATTATTACATTGTGCAAGCAGTATCGGTGTTTGACACATTTCACAAATGCTAATGTGTATGCTTTTCCCCCCTCTTCCCCTTTTCTCCTGGTTTTCTTTCTATTCTTCATTTGCTTCATTGGAATGGGAACTGTGGAAAAAACTCCTTGACACTCTGACACCAGAATCCTTCATCTTGGAGAGACCATGATGATGCAACCTCAACGCACTCGGCAGGCACACCGGGGCCCTCCAGCGGGGGCCATGCTTCCCAGAGTGGAGACAACAGCAGCGAGCAAGGTAAAAGGTCAAACTTTTTTCCCTCCGCAAAGTAGGCATGACTAAAATAACTCCAGCTTTTTTTATTATATCAGTACATCTGCCTTAGAGTAAACATGGAGTGGCAGACTTGCAGTATAATCAGCTGTAACTTAGGGAGACGGTATTTCCTTTTCCTAACCTACTTAGCTGCATTTTACTATTATTTCAGAGTGAAATATCTAATCTTCAAACAAGCTTTGTAATAACAATTGATTAGTTCTGCCAATTCCTTTACAAATTTGGTTATCTACAGTTTATTTTTGTGTAGTGTAAGTAAATATAATGACAGACATACTTTCCAGCTGTGATGCAGTTGTTTGAGCTGGGTTATAGATGGAGAATTCAACCTGTAGTGTTCACTGGGGATGTGACTCCTATATGAGATTTTGAAGCTGCTCAATTATCTAAAGTAGAAGCAAAGCCTGAACTGGACAGAAAAATGTTTATTGCAATGCTTGCTTGTACAAACTTGCTTCTGCTTCTGAAAATCTGGATTCAGAATGGTAGAGAGGTACCTGAACTGTAAAACCTCTGCTGCATCTATACAGTGAAGCGTTCTTAAGGGTTTGGGAGGTTTGATTATTATTTCAGAGTTTTTTGTTTTATTTCCTTCTGAATTGCACCTTGTGTGTGGTCATTTGCATCCATGCTGAGTGAGTGTCAGTCTGTCCTTCTGATATGATAGTGTGTTACACTTGCTTGTTAGAAGTATAAGTGACTCCAGAAGGTATAAGAATCAAGCCTCAAGTGCTAAAAGTTGGGAAAGATGGTCTAGTGTCGCTCTTGGATCAAATTGGAATTTATTTTTGTAAGATCAAAATTTAAGGTGAGATCTGTTCTTGGTTTGTTTTTTTTTGTTTTTTTTTGTAAACATGTAAGTCTTAGCTAGCAAGACATTACCTTTACAAGGTCTTATGATATGCTTCCTCCACCTCCTGCTTCTGCAACATTTTGCCACTCTGTTTCCCCCACTTGGGGGTTACGGGTGCCAAATAGATCCAGCTGAGAGGTTTGCTATCCAGCTGGCTGTATGGGATTCCAAAACGGAGAGAGAAGCAGCCTTCGGGGTGAGAGCTGTGCTGACTAGCCTTGCACTGCAGGCCGCTTCCCACCACAGTATTTGCCACGCTTAGGCAGCAGAGCAGATATGTGATTTCATGTCTCTCACGTGGCCCACTGTTTGGCACAGAACTCCATACCCTCGTCTGTCTCACGATCTGGTGTCATACCCATTGCAATTCTAGGAACTTGCAAAGTTTGTTTCTGGGAGAGTGGTTTGGGTTTGTCTCCTATTTGTATGAATTGTTTATGCATTTGTTAATCTTATTGCTGATAGAATGCAACCATGGCACAAGGTGTGATCTAGCTCCAACATGAATCACATGGAATTTTTTTCTGTGTGATTGGATTAGAGTTGTACCAGGCCCAGTGTGAACCATTACAGCTTCATCAGCTAATAAAGGGGGAGAGCTTGACAGCTAAGCAGCGAATAGGTATTATGTCTGTTAGCTGGCCATACATTGTATATTGTGGCTAAGATGCTTCATGTAGCAGATGATAATTTGCATACTCAAAACCGATTCCTTTTAGTTGTCTTCCACAGTGCCTTCATTCCATCCTTAGGGAAGAAATTTCTCACACCTGTATCTCCACTCTGCACCAGCAACACTTTAGAAATTAGAAGAGTTTCTTCATTGAGCCATGCTTGCTCTAAAGAAATACCTTGTATTGACATCCAGAGATCTTGCACTTCGCTAGTCTCTGATTTCCTGTAATGTAACTCGAGGTGCTCGAGAAGTATTGCTAAGCATGAGAAAAAGTAGCTGATGACACCTACGCCAACTTCCCATTAGAGACTGAGGTTTCCGGTAATATGTACAATTTGAACCTGTTACACTCATTTCTGCAGGAGAACAACTGCTGAAGAGCCAGAAATCAGTCACTAGTGCTGTGCAGTCTAGCAGGTTAAAACATCACTAGTATGCTTCCTTTTGTGCTCAGTTGGGCCTTTTAAAGGAAAGCAGTCGTCCAGTGGCAGATCAGCATTCCACTCAGCTGCTGGCAGCTGAAAGATGTATGATCCTACAGCAGCGGCAAAATTCCCACTGCAGACAGCTTTGGATTGCTCTCCCCCCTCAGCCTTGGGAAAGACTAAAGAGAGGGAGGCCTGTATTGAGTTTTCCTTGTTTCCTTGAAGGGGAGCAGGATTTACTTCATAACTTGTGAACTGGCAGTGAGTCAGTCCCAGGAAATACCAAGATAGGTGGATGCCCTCTTGAGCTATTCCGGTGCAGTTACTTTTTGGGGTTAAGTTGGTTTCCCAAATTAAGGTTTCATTCAAGACCTTCCACAAGTGCTGCTTCCCATATAACACTTGCCCCAAAGGATTTCTTGGGAATGGGAGCTCATTAGAGAATATTGATTTACATTAGCAACTTACGGTCTCCTTCACTGATGCCTGGTGGCAGCAGAGATTGAGTCAAGCTACAGTCAGTCTCTTCTGGCTCTTGAGAACACTCTTTCCAGGGGTCTCTGCTTTCCTTAAGTCTATGATGTATGGCTCGTGATTTTATTTTTTTTTGGGGGGAGGTGTGGTGGTAGAAAGCAGTTGGGTGAGTGATAACATAATTTTTGTGGGCTTTCTCTGTGTGAGGTCTATCTATTTATTACACAGGAGAATCCATCCATAATTCTTAAAGGTATAGGCATTTTGTCTGTTTATGGAGGAGAGTTTCTTCACAAGAGTGAGTTACTGCCCTTTGGCATCAAAAGGGTTAATCTAGTTGGTGTCTGATATTATTAGAAACATGCTGGCATTTAAAGAGTTAAAAAAGGAGCCTTCAGGCAGTAAATGTTGAAAGATTATCCTAATTTTATTAGTGGTGAGTGTCTATGTTGTTCTTAACATGTCACCTCACTTGTTCAACAAAGAACTAAGCTATACAACTTATTGATCATCTAGCAAACCAAAGTACTAGAGACCTGTAATCTACCAGGCATTTATTGACTTTATTCCAGTTTAGTTCCACAAATGCAGATCAATGCTGTGCAATACCATTCTAAAGATTAGTAATTGTGTAGTGGGCCTGATCAACTTTCCCCCTGCCATGGAAAGAGTTGGATATATCCAGTAATAAAAATAAAACACTCTAAACATCTTACAAAGGAGAAAAAGAAGCTGATTTAATGGTCTAATGAGGCCATCTTCCAGAGACTTGTTTTGTGTAGGGCTTGCTTTGACCTTTCGCTTTGCTCAGGAGCCCAACGCTTCATTTTTCACATTCTTGCAATTACGTTAACGCTTCAAGCATTTCTGACTTCAAGTCAGCTAGCAACACCAGGCATAACTCAACACTGTGAGTTTTTCTCCTCTCTGTAGATTCATTAACAGGTCACTGGGGTCCCAACTGAAATTTAAAACTGGCTGGTTCTGTTGGGTTAGCTGAGTTATAGCAAGGGAGATGGCAGGAAAGGGGCTAAGAGAAGGGGAGGGGAGAGAGAAGACCCTGGGGTTTTTGCCAGGGAGTACATGTGTAAAAACCCTAAGTGGAAGATTAAAAGGTGTGTGTAGCTTTATCATCCACCCTTTTCTTTAGAGCAGGGAAAAACAGAAAGTCTTCTGGGGTATTGTGTTTTCCTTATTCTTTGTGAAACGAAGTGAAAACAGCCACTGCCTTTACGTGCAAGGCTAAATGACATCTAGAATTCTTCATCAGTTTGTACCCTAGTGATGGATATGATGCTCCCAGACTTTAATTCCTATTTAATCTCTTTATGGGATATTTCAAATAATGAGTATGTCAGATTATGCATGAAAAGTGGGAAATAAATCTTTTTAAGATTTAAAAACATGTGGTCTACAGGAAAGCACTAGGGAATAGTTTCAGTTTCATATTTTATGATACTGGGATTGTATACCTGATTTGTCATATTCTTAGTTCAGTCACTCAAAGGGCCTGATTCAGCCAAGACAGACAAAAGCTGTGCTCCTTCAGGACCTTTCAGGAAGTTCAGCATCTCTTTAGGATTAGGCCTGGGGTGATAAACTTGACCATAAGTAAGAAGCCAGAAACAAGAAACTTCTTCTAAGTTATGCAGCAGTAAAAATACAAATGGGCATTGCATCCACTTTGCTTTACCCATGCGAGTAGTTCATTGGTGTATGGGTTTTTTGATTTGGTGTGGGGTGTTTTTTTTGTGTGTGTGTTTTTTTTAATGGAACTACTTGTGCTGAATGAAGATCTGCCCCTTTATATGTAATATAGTCTATTCTCTAGAGCAATATTTTAAAGTAGTTTTGAAACACTTTTCTGACAGCTTGATGTTTGTCCCACAGATCTGGTCACAATAGTTTTCTGTAGCAAAGACTTATCATCCAGTCTGGGGCAAAGTCCACTAAGATATTAGCTGCAATTATGTGTTCATCCCAGGTTATGTCTCTGGGTTAGTGCATGTTGGAAAAATTAGGTAGTATACTTCTCCATTATATACCATCTTGTAATAATTATAGTATAGAAATCAAATCCCTTTACAAAACTAGCTGATAATGCCCAAAGGCCTTTCCTAGTATAGAAACTCTACTGAAACTCTGTAAAGCTTTGAACCAAACTCCAACAGATAGGAAAACGAGAAGGGTAAGTTGTTAACAAAATAACACACTCCGAAAGTGTCCAAAAACTTAGTATCCAAAAGCTAATGCTACAACTTCTTTTTCCTAGTTCTCTATGTATAAGTAAGCCTGCTGAAGCTAGTACACGTATTTATCATAAGGATTCAGAATATATTTTTATTCCTTTGTATTTTTACTTACAAAGCTATAGGGTATGGTTTTATTGGAAAAGACCCACTTTTTGTAAGAAAGGAAATTCCTAATAGAAGTGCTCAAATATCCAGACTGTGAAAAATCAAACTTGCTAATAAATAATGCTTCACTGGAGAGGCATTATTTCAGAAGGCGCAGCTCTCATAAAGGTGAACTG